GGGGGGGGGTGGATCCCCAGAGACCCTGGCTGAGCGGTCCCTAGTCCTCCCAGCGCGAACCTGCCGGAACCGAAAGGGTTTCGGCGCCATGGGGATTGTTTGGGTTTCTTCCGCGAAGGGGGGATTTTAATTTCGTCTCCTCGAGGGAAAATGCTGCTTGCAAAGACGCAGCCAGGACAGCCCGCGTCAGAGAGGCTGAACGGGACTCGGTGGCACAGGCATTCCGCCCCCACCCCACCCAGGGCCTGAGCGCCTGTGAATGTATTGATTATTTTAATTGATCTTTTAAAATAAAAAAACAGGTGGCAGCGGCTGTGTGTGTACATACAAACACGCACACGCACAAACACAGATACCCAGGCGCGCACAGATGCACGTACAGAGTCACACACAAAGAAACACACCAACACCCAACGGATCCATACACACGCAGCCCTCCAGAGCCTGAAGAATGGCTGAGGTCTCCGAAATTTCCTAAGGTGGGGGTTAGGGGACGGAGGAGGGGGGAAATAAAGGAGCTCCCCCAATAGATGAAATAGCTCGCCCCGACCCCAAATCCTTCGCTTTCTTCTCCCAAGGAGGTCTGAAGCAGAAATCCCCAACTAGGGCCCGTTTCCACCACCGGGAGAAGAGCAGCCCTCTTTCAGCCCAGCCCATCCGCAACCCCTGCAGATTACTACTGATTCCCTCTCTCCTTGCGCCTGACCCCAAAACTCCCAGGACGCCAAGGTCGCTCCAAACCCGAGGGAGCAGCCTCCCTGAGGTAGGGCCTAGCCCCGGGAGTCCTTCCGCTGCAGCCTCGGGGTCTCTTTTCTGCTTGGCTCAGATTAGGGAAGTGGGCAGCGGTGGGTGACCCCAGGGGCAGCGGTTGGGGGTGTAGATTTGCTTGCGGCCTTTGGGACCCGCCTCCCGAGAGAGACGCGCAGGAGGGCGCCCCCTGGCTGCCGAGGTAACGTGTCTCCTCTCCCCTTAGGCATGTAATCGAGGATGCTGGCCCTGAGGCTGCTCAACGTGGTCGCCCCTGCCTACTTCCTGTGCATCTCCCTGGTGACCTTCGTGCTGCAGCTCTTCCTGTTCCTACCCAGCATGCCCGAGGACCCCGCGGCCACCCCTCTCTTGTCGCCAGCCCTGCTGCACGGGGCGCTCTTCCTGTTTCTGTCTGCCAACGCCCTGGGCAATTATGTCCTGGTCGTCCAGAACTCCCCGGATGACGTGGGGGCCTGCCAGGGGCCTTCAGCCAGGAGGGCTTTGTGCCCCCCACCCAGCACTCACTTCTGCCGCGTGTGCGCCCGAGTCACGCTGAGGCACGACCACCACTGTTTCTTCACCGGCAACTGCATCGGCAGCAGGAACATGCGCAACTTCGTCCTCTTCTGCCTCTACACCTCCCTCGCCTGCCTCTACTCCATGGTGGCCGGTGTGGCCTACATCTCCGCTGTCCTCTCCATCTCCTTCGCCCACCCCCTGGCCTTCCTCACGCTCCTGCCCACCTCCATCAGCCAGTTCTTCTCCGGTGAGTGGGGCTCGGCAGGCAGGTTCCGCAAATAAGACCTCCTGCCATAACTCCAAGAATTGCCAGATTTAGCAAATAAAAACCTAGAGTGCCCAGATAAGTTAAAACTTCGTAGAAACAATTTTTTAGTGTGAGTATGGCCCAACATGTCAGAAGACATATACTAAGAAAACATGCTACGACCCATCTGAAATTCAAATTAATTGGCCATGTTACGCTTTATGTGACCGTGCCCCGTTTCCTCACCTTTCATACTATTGACCCGTAGAATTGTGGTGGCCAAGCACTTCCTGCTGTGGGCCGGGCACACAGTCCCCCATGCCGCCCATATTGTAACTGTCCTCTGCCTGGACCTCGTACATTCCCCCAAGGACTCTGCCCGCCCAAGGTCTTGCCATCCAACTGCAGTAAGATTGAACTTGACCCCAAGCCCACCTCAGCAGGAAGCTAACCCCATCCTCCTGCCTCCACTGGTTTGACCCCACCGTACTGTTCTGCAGCCTGGGGGTGACTCGGAGCAGGGGCATCATGGTTGGAGACACAGCCATGTTTAATGACTCCATTTTCACAATGCAGAGCTTGTGTCTGGGCTGGGAGATGACTGTCTGAAATGCCCTGATGCCTGCAGGAGCCAGGCAAGTGGGTCTTCACGCTGGTGCTCAGCTGGGCACCCTGTCGACTCTGCGTGGAATAGGGTACCTCAAGGAATGTGCTGTAATACCTGGTTCTGGGGGCCTCGGCTCCTGGTGGCAGTTCCTACTGCTATTCTTGGCTTTGAAGTTTGTTTCTTTGTTTCTTTCCACTCCTCACCTGGCCTCTGACTCTGACCAGTTTGGTTGCACAGTTGGTAGTTGTCACATGTATGTGTGTGTGTGTGTGTGTGTGTGTGCATGTGTGTATGGCATTGGTACTTCATCTCTCAGATGAAGAACTAAACAGCCTTTCCAGAATCTCATGACTACTTAGCAGCAGTCTCTGGCATGTCCCCAGGTCCATAAACCACAGACTAGTTCTCTTCCTCAGCAACACCAGGAATAGAATGAGTTCCTGAACACACTGACCATCCAGGAACCATGAAAGGCAGGGCACAGTTACTTTCACTGGGAGCCTAAGATGTCTTAATGTGCCTGGACTGGCCTGGGGTGGACATTCACAGAACTTCCACCCTGGGAGAAGCCATTCTTTCTGTTTGTGTTGTAGCTGCAGCCCAGTTCTTCCTAGGCATGGAACTGTTGTACCATTTGGCGGTGGGAACAGAGAGGTCCCAGCCACAGGGGATGTCTGGAGGGCTGGTGATGAGCTGGGCCCAGAACTCAGAACTCTTGGGCCTTCTGGATCTCCATGCTGGCATTGGAGGCTGCCAGGACCAAAATACCCAGGCTAGGGGAGGGGAGGTGGGTGGGCTGGGGGTGGAGTGTGAGCACGGGCAGGTGGAGGGATGAGGAGAGCCAAAGAACCTGATCACACATCCTTTTCCAAGTAGTTTCACCAGCCATAAAAATGGGTGGTTTCAGAAAGAGGATCTTGAAATGGTTTGATCTGAAATAAGTCTGGGCTTGAGGCCTATCCATATGTGCTAGGTTTGGGAGATAGGAAAGAAAGAAAGAGCTTCTTGCTTTGCTCTGATGGCAAAACAGAGCCAGCCAGGCCCCACCCTGCAGCCTGACCCCTGTTCCAGTGGAAAGATGAGTCCCTGTAGCCTTCAACTGCTCCCCAGACCCACTAGGAAGAGGAGGCCAAGATCCTGTGTCCAGCGCTCCCGTCTCATCTCCCGCCTTTGCTGATGTCATTCCCCCTCCCCTACATATGCTCCCTGTTCAGCTTCCTCCTTTCCAACTCCTGAGAGCACATCCTCTCCCGCTTAGGAAGACAGGTGAGCAGGTGGGAGTGCGAAGGCACAAGTCACTGAATAGCACTGCACTGCTCACAGCTCTGGTGCTGATCCTGAGACCAGAGCACAAGACAGCTGTGAATGGGTCCCTGAAAGCTAAAGCGGAGAGGAGTCTTTAAGCTGAAGGGCCCTCAGCTAATGCCAGAGAAGGAGAAGGCTAGCTGGTTAGGTTTCAGAAATTGTCCTTTCTTTTGGCTGTGTGGATCAGAACATGTGTCACCAGCTGAGGTTATTCTTATCTGGCAAATGGAGGTGGCACTGACCACCTGACATGTGCCTTGGCATTTGGATGAATACATCAATTGACAGGTGCCACTGGAAGGTTCAGCAGGAGGGAAAGGGAACAGAAGAAGTTCATTGAGCGGCTGTTATGTGCCACCCTCTGGGCGTCCCATTTCATCCAGCCCTCATGATGAGTCCGTGAAGTAGGTATTATCATTTTTAAGGCTCAGAAACCAAATGTTTGGCCAGGTGAAGTTGCCTCAAAGCCACACAGCTCTAGACTTGGGGCTACTCCCTCCAAAACTCACAGTCTCTCCCCTGCACTGCCCTACCTCTCTGATCCTCTTTTGAGGTCAATGAGCCACACTGGGACTAGGGGAGCTTCATGTCTTTGGATGGATTCAAGAAGATATCGGGTGATAAGTTGTCAAAAGGGGAGACAGATGATGTGATCTTTCAGGCCCTATGGAAAAATTCTATGGGTTTAAAAAATAATAAAAGAAGCAGAACTATTATTAAATAGTTAAGAGGAGCTGAAGCAGCCAGGCTAGGTAACTTCAAACACTGCGAGAATGCAGGTCCCCAGAATAGCCTTTTGTAGCTGCTTCACGGGACTAGGAAAAGGCCACAAGTTCTTTCCTCATGCCTCGATTTAGTGCCAGACTGAAGCCTGAGGGGAGCAGCCTCTATCCACCCAGGCCTGTTCCCAGGGCTGCGTTGCAAGGCAGGCCTGTGCTTGGCAGCTCTGATGTTCACATATTCCAGTCCCAGGGCCATCTTGTCCCATCAGTGTTCCTTGAGCCTGAGGGGCACATGGCCCCAGGATCTTCCTTCCTTTATGCAGGCACCCAAACTAATCTTTGCTGACAAGGAAGAAGTGGGTCAGGGGATGCCACAGCCCACCGTGGGCCCTGTCCCACTGCTGCCTCCGTCAGTGGAGGGGCTGCTCTACATGCCAGCTGAAGCTAGCTTTCTATCTCCTGGGCAGATGGACCTGTTTGAATCCCATTCTGCAGAGAAAATGCTATCAAAGCTCCTAAGGATGAGGAAAGAGGAGGCTGCTAATAGCAAACCTGAATCAGATCCTATCCTTCCTGGCTGCTGAGCCCACCACTCTTCCACAGAACAGATGAGTGTTAAAAGCATAATTTTCAGGGGCCTGGAAACTAGAGTCTGAGGAAGAGGGGGTTGGTCAGGGAAGGAAGATGGTCGAGATTTTTCAGGGGTAAAATAGGTTGAAGGTGGAGCCACACTGCTCCAATAGGTAATGAATCATTTGATAGTCTCTTTCACTACTATAACAAAATATCTTTGCCCAGGTGGCTTAAAAAGATAACACATCCTGGAGTGGCCACCCAAATCCTCACTGGAGAAGGTGGTAATGGGGTTACCCTACAAGGAGCAAAGAGCTAAGGAAGGCTTTTGGGTTCTGTCCTGGGCCCACTGTCGTGGCTGCTGGACAGACCAAGGTAGGTGTCTTTACTATAGCTGCCTGTCCAGGACTCCAAGCTCCGGGAAAGAAGAGAAAGCTTGGTGGTCTTAGGAGTTCAACGTGAGCCCTTTTGGCATGAAGTCTCCTTTGAAATGACTTTTGGCAGGGGGGCTGCACCAAGTGTAAACCAGAAAGCTGACTACTTCTCACATCATTTCCTTGTATCCTGCACCCCTATGGAATTGTCATTATTACACCCATTTTGCAGATGAGCAAAGTGCAGCTCAGACAGGTCGAGAACCTTTTGTAAGTCCACACAGCCAGGAGATTCAAATCAAGCATGGACTGAGCCCCACAACTCTGAGGAAGTGTGTGGGATCTCTATTACAAAACCAGGAGCAGAAAGTGTTCCGTTTAGAAAGAGAAGGTGCTGCCCCACTGTCCTGGGCTGACCTGGCGAGATCAGGGCCTCTTCCATCCTTAGCAAGCTCTGACCAGGGACAGCCCTTGCTGGGTGTTCTGGTGCCACGCTGTCCTCTTGTTAACATTAATGACTGAAATTTTTTCTAAGTCTGCCCTTGAGGCTGACCGAGCTTGTGACTTGTTCTTCCTGATGACTAGGCCCTAGGTCCTGGTCTCCATCATGCTGTCACTTTCCAGAGTCCTCCCAGACACTTCTCCCCACCCTGCAGGGAAAAGGTGCTGCGGAGACCCCTCTTTAGGGCCCTTGAATCAGCACTAGCTCTTCCCGAGTAACCGCCCTTCTCTCTCTTCCAGCTGAGGGGCGGGTAGGCATTTCTGCTTGTACGAGATGGGAACAGAAGCTGCAGGCTCTCCTTGCTTGCTGAGCTCATTAACTTTCCTTCCTTCCTCCCCAGGTCCCCAGTTCTCCCCTATCACCTCAGGAGCCGCCTGCACTAAGGAAAACTTAGGGCAACTTGTTCATCCTTTCCCTCCCTCGCTGCAGCGCTGAGGTTGCTACAAAATGTAGCTTCAGTCTCATTAATCTCCTCCCTCCGGAAAGAGCCAGCAGGGATCGCGTTTCTGTACGTGGCCTGGGTGTAAAGTGGTTTGTTCTGGTGTCTCCCCTCCCCCCCGCAGGAGCTGTCCTCGGTTCTGAAATGTTCGTCATCCTCATGCTCTACCTCTGGTTTGCCGTCGGTCTGGCCTGCGCAGGCTTCTGCTGCCACCAGCTGCTGCTGATCCTCCGGGGGCAGACACGCCACCAGGTTCGAAAGGGGGTGGCAGTGAGGGCCCAGCCCTGGCGCAAGAACTTACAGGAGGTGTTCGGGAAGAGGTGGCTGCTGGGCCTGTTGGTCCCCATGTTCAATGTCGGAAGTGAGAGCTCTAAGCTGCAGGACAAGTAGCAGGCAGGCACTTGATCATTTCTCTCTGTGTGTGTATCACTCCCTCCCGAACCATTCCTCCTGAACGCCACCCATGATCCACTACAACCTTGGGGTAGTAAAGCCCGTGCACTCACTCCTGGTCTTCCACCCATCGTGGAAGACCAGTGTAAGCTGGGGAATCATGACAGGGAGGAAAATGGCCACCCAGGCAGTGGTAGTCTCCTCAGCAGCCAGCCAGGTGGCTTTAGCTCTTGTTCCTTCTCCTAGGGAAGCCTTCTTCCCCCTCTGCCTGGCCGGTCCACTTCCTGCCATGTCTCTCGCAGCCCCTGCTGTGTGCTGGAACCCTTTACCTCACATGGGGAAGAAGCAGTGGTTTCTCACTGCTGATAAGACTCCCCAGGACCTGGAGGCTGGCAAATGCTTAAAATCACCACATGTGAGAGGTGGCCAAGTCCACTCTGCCAACTGCCAGGAAAGTTGGGAAGTGGCAGGTATGTGTCCTTGTCCCCTCTGTGGGATTTTGAGCAGCGAGGGCAAAAAGAGCACAGGAGCTTGCTGCCCACAGCCCAGGTTCAAGGTCCTTGCTCTGGAGATGGCAACCAATGCCTGATATTTCCAGCTGCTATTCCCTGTCCAGCCTGGCTTAACCAGCCACCCAGCCCAGTCTAGGGCCTGGCTGGATGCTTCCTTTCCCTGGCATTCATCCAGCTTTTCCCTTTGATTTCCAACCTCTGGACTTTTGCTTGATGTTTGGAAGGAAAGGAAGAAAAGAGGGGAAGGGGAGCCATCCATATGTGAGGAGGCATGTGATTGCCATGCTGCGCAAATGTACAGAAAGGGGAGGGGAGAGAGAGAGAGAGAGAGGGAGAGAGGGAAAGGTGGTAGTGAGAGGAGAGGGGCATATGGCCGCATTTATGCCCTGTATAAAGGGCATTCTAGCAGCTAAAGCTGTTCAGTGTTTTAATGGCTGGCCGGGGAGGTAGTGAGCACTCCACGGCTGCAGGTCTCCAAGTTCTAGGCACTTATTTGCCAGGTGTGCTGTGCAAGGGATTTTTGCCCAAGGTTATTCTAGATGAGCTTAGAGATTCTTTCCCATTCTAAGATTCTGGTGTCCTCTTTGTGACTGCTGGGCCTGGGGGCCAGACCTGCAGAGATGATTATGAGCTATTTGTTTTCATGAGCAGCAGAGTGGCCACGGGAGGAGTCTGAAAATCATGATGCAAATTTTTGGACCCAACCCAGCCACCAAGGAGAGGACTGCCCCAGTGTAAATAGTAGTTGAGAGGGCTGGGATTGAGGACAAGGAGACAGAACAGGGTTGGGATCAGGTGCAAGAAGATGTGGGGAGGGAAAAGCCAGACCACACTCAACTCAAAGGGAGGAGATGGGGGAGCAAAGGCTGGGGACGGGCAGGACCAGAACACAAAGTGCACCTGCCAGACTGTCCCTGCTCATCCGACCAGCCCCGGATGGATGCATTGCCATGTGTGCTGGGACCCAGAGAAGCAGGCCCTTGGGACATATGAGGGGGTGGGGATGACACAAGTGCCCTCTCCTGACTGGGTCCAAGGCCAATCTGACATCCATACAAGCAGCAGGGCTGCAGCCCTTGCCCCGCAGAGCCCAGCGGGTGGCCACAGTGACTCTGGCTGTACAACACCATGAACTCTCAGGCAGAGATTGGGTGGATGTTACCCAGGTCCTGCCTTCATCCCCCTGGAGGACCACTGTTGTAACGGCTTAACTGCTCATACTTTTCCCTCCCATGTTCACTCTTTCAGTCATCCATTTGTTCATCCTAAATATACTTACCAAGCGCCAACTATGTGCCAAGTTTCAGGCACTAGCAATGCAGCGGTGAACAGGACAGTGAGGTCCCTGCCATTAGGGGACCATTGCTATTGCCCCCTCTCTGCACTGAATCCTATCCTTTGACAAAGGGTCTGTCTGCCTTCTTGGTGGTTCCCCACTTGGAGGAGAAGGATGTGGCAGGGAGGGCTGATGGGGAGCCCAGGCGTTCTCAGTGGAAGAGTCCTGGGGGTATCCTTACTCCCAAGTCTGGCTATACTTAAGCAGGGAGAGTGGCAAAGGAGAGGGAGGAGGCCTGGACAATTCAGGCCGTGGGTGTCTCGTGGCTGTAGAGTTCAGCTTGGAGGCCAGATCTGCCATGTCCAGAGACTGCTCCATGAGTCTGACATGCTGGGGTGGGGTGGGAGGGAAGATACTGGTCCCTGGGGGTGACTGGGGAGGAGGTTGCCAGGTGTGAGACTTCAGCACCATTTGTGAACATGGCCCTGTATGTATTGTTGATGAAGACCATCAATAAAATGTGTGGTTTTAATCGGATTTCATACCATCGCACGGGCACTATGGTTGGTAGCAGGACTGGTAGGGCTAGAACACACAGATGCTAGTCATACTAGCTCTTCAGAGATTTCACACAAGTATTAAAAATTCTTCTGCCCAAGTTGGTGAGTAACCATGGCCCAGATTCCCTGAGTAACCTACCCCTGCTGCCCCTGCTCCTCCCTGGGGACCCCTCCACAATCCAGCAGAGAAATCCAGGGCACAGCTGCAGCCCTCCACCAGTGTCCACTGTGATTGGCAGGGCCAGGCTGGAGGTGGTAAGTATGTGAACAATGTTCTGGTCCAGGATGCCGGGGTCTGTGGGCCTGTGAAGACCAGGGACGGAACCTCCCTCATCCTCCTCTCCCACTCTCTTCCCCATGGTGAGTGGGAAAGAGAATGAAGGAGAAAGGCCAAGTGCTTCATTACAGCCAAGACTGGGCCTAGGTTCTTTCAACCCTATGACAATTGGGAAGATTTGGGCTCCCAGCCCTGGGAGCAGCCAGGAAGGCCTGGAGTCCTGCCGGGAGTTTCCCTGCATGGATATGGATGCTCATGAACCCTAAACATGTGCAGGACTAGTTGGATTCAGCTGGACAGTGCTGGTTCTGCTTGAGCTGTCCAACCAGACCTCCAACCAGGCCAGTGGTGTGGCAGTCTGCATTCCCTGAACATAACACCAAGAGGCAACCAGCAAGGAAGTCCGCGATGTGCTGGGGAGCTGGACAAATGAACTGTGGCTTATTCTTAGCACATTCTGGAGCATGGGCTGACCACTCCAAAGGGCAGACGCCACAGTTGTCTTCCTAACACCATTGTATTCTTTTGCCTAGAGGGGACTAGGCACATAATCGGCACTTGATAATCACTGACCGAATGAAGGCACAGAGTTTGGATTTGCTTGCTACACATCATTTATTCCCTATGGGCCCAGATACCTCTGGCCCCAGGAAGTTCTCACCCTGGAGAGGTTTCTAGGAGTGCTCAGGATGGGGAGACAAGTCATTAGAGTGACCTCAAAGAACAGGCTGTCAGGAGCACTGGGGAGAAGCTGGGGTTCAGGGTCACCTAAAGCCTTTGCCTCTGTCAAGAGGGCCCTCATTTGAGTCAGTGGTGTCATGCCTCACTGATCACTGCCGCCCATGTGGAGGAGGGACACAGGGGACATCTACAGGCCGTACTGGGCAGCACAGCCCCCTGGTCCCCAAAGCAAGGCAGAGCCATCTGCCCATGGCAGCAGATGTCCTGTGTCCTCTGGCTTCTACTCCAAGCCCTGGAGTAAGACACCTGGCTCTCCAGTGCCTCAGTTCTGCCACCCAGAAATCAGGTGCTCTGCTTTGGCCAGGTCCTAGTGTTGAGTTAGGCAAAGTATGAGCTGCCTACCGGAGGCTTCACAAGCCCAAGTGGCTTCGGGAAAAGAGTGACCTTAAGGAGTTCCTTCTACATGTTCCTTCTACAAGTCAGTCCTGAGGTCCTGGGGCCACTCTTCTTTCCTAGAATCATGATCATCCTTATCACTGTCCATGCACTTGGGCTCCCAAATGCCCTAGCTCTGCTTTATACTCTGTGTACTCCAAGTGGCCTCGCTGCTCATGAGATTCCCCACTGCCACTCCCTCCTTCCCTGCCCCTAGGCACAGTCATAAGGATCCTTGGGGGATGATCCCCCTAGGGAGAAAAGAACAGGTGGTCGGAGAGTACAGTCCTGCCTTATCCAAGTGCCTCAGGGATGAGGCAGAGCCTAAGGCCTGCTCACCCACCCACAAGGGTAAGCCTCTGGCTGGGGGTGGAAGGCACCTGGGGGTGAACTGGCAGCTGCTAATGTTGGCTCTGCTTCTGCCCTCCATCCTCTCACTATGCCTGAGGCTGGTCCAGGGAGTCCACTCATTTCTCAAACATCCACTGACGCTGACTCCATGCCAGGCATGATGCCAAGAGCCAGGAAAGCAAAGATGAATGAGACCCAGTGCCTGACCTCCGGGACCTCACAGGGAAGAGGAGAAATTGTGGACAGTTGTGATTCAGTGGGGTTAGCATGCCGATGGGAAGACAAGGTGCCACAGAAGCCTGGAAGAAAACTCTCCTCACCAAGGTTGGGCTGGAAGACTTCCCAGAAGGGTGACATCTGGATCAGGCAGGATGAATAGGAGCAAGCCAGGCAGACAGGTGGGGCTATGGGAGGAAGTGGAGGAAGGAGGGACGTGCACAGGCAGTGGTGCTCGTGATTTCTGGGAATTGCAAGTCTGTATTTAGGACTTGCAATTTGAGACTGTTCTCATGCCATGTTCCCCAAGGGCCCTGCCTCCTCCCTCTGATCACTTTTTTTTTTTTCCACTACTAGGGATTGAACCTACTTACTAAGCAAGTGTTCTGACACTAAGCTACCCCCCAAGCCTTTTTTTTTTTTTTTTGAGATAGGGCCTTGCTAAATTGCCCCAGCTGGCCTTGAACTTGTAATCTTCCTGCCTCAGTCTCCTGAGTAGCCAAGATTAAAGGCATGCATCACCACCTCTGGCTCTCTGATTACTTCTTACAAAGTAGCTCATCCCAGCTTATGGTGTCCCATTTGGTCGAGTCTAATGTGAATCGATCTCTGAATGACACACGGGGTCCTCTGGGTTAGAGACCATTTCCAAGGAGATTGGCCCAGAGGTCCCACTGGGACCATCAGAGATCCTTGTCTCTCTGCACATTCACAGAGTGCCCTGTGGGCACTACCAGCCTCTTGCCTTCTGCACAGCTTCAGCAAGCAGTGCTGAAAGAGGCCTTCCCACTAAGATGGTAGAATGGAAGGGCTAGAACTCTGATGTGCAGGACGTGTTCAGTGTCCCCTCTCAAGTGGCCCTTGCTGGCCCTCTGCACCTTGGTGAGCACCCTGCCCTTACCTAGTGGCCCCATCTGCCTGCCTCCTCCTTTAGCTGAGGCCTCTCCTGACCCCTCCAAGTCACATTTCTCCAGAGGCCTTTCTTCAGTGGATCCAACACCTGGGAAATCTTCCGCCCCAACTCCCCCTACCCCCCGGAGCTCCCTCTCAGCCTGACTCCCTTCCTCCTGTGGCTTTGGATCCCAATTGCACCACACCTTTTGGGAGGTAGAAATGGAGATGGCAGGGTCCTTTGTTTCCTCAGTACCTAGCATGGCTGTAGGGCACAGATGACAATTGTACTACTGGTTATCATGACTTTTACTCAGCACTCACTACATGCCAGCCCCATCATGCACACGTGTTATTTATACTGACTTGTTCCTTATAGAACCCCTGTGAGGTGCACTATATTATGACCTCTATTTTCCAGCTAAATAAACAGGCATGGAGAGGTTCTATAACTTGCCCAAAGCCTCGCAAGTAGTAAATGAAAGAGGCAGGCTTCCGACTCAGGCTGCCTGCCCCAGAGTCTGTCTCTTCAACCCAGACACAAGTCTATCTTTGTGTTGCAGTCTATTGGAGACACCCAATAAAGTCCCTACTGAAAAGTAATAAGGAGTCACATTTTCATTCACTCAACACATGCTCTGAATACCTGCTAGGTACCAGGCACTGGCGGGCACAGAGGAAGGAATTAGGCTCAGCCTCTGCACAGGAAAGCTGACAGTAGCAGGGGCCTCTAGGTGAAGGAGGTTGTGCTACATACAGCCCAGTCTGGGAAGATCTGGGAGGAGGAGTGTGCAGAGGTGAGAAGGGTGGAGGGGTCCGAGGAGGAAGCTCATTTACCACACCGGGAGAGGGCAGGCCCTTCTGGGCCGGATGGCTGGTGGAGTGGGGTTCACGCCAGTCCTTCCCTCCGAGGCTACGGTGGCACAGAGCTCCGCAGGTGGGAGCCAGGCACTGACCCGGAATCCCAAAGGGCAAGCAGGAAAGGGCTTGCTGCTAAACACCAGCAGCTGCCGCAGGGCGATTTCAGAGGGCAGGGCATGGTGGTACCTCAGGCCGTGTGCGTTCAGGGAAAGGAGACCCCGCGGGCGGGCGGGAGGGCGCCACCTGGTGACTTCTCCGCTGTGCGGCAGGAGGAAGAGGCAGTGCAGAGGGACTGGAGTCCAGCCCGGGTGGGCTGAACTGAGCGGGGCTCTCACAAGACCCCAGCCAGGAAGGAGCATTCTAGACAGATGGCCAAACAGGGATTCCTGAGTGCTGAGCGGTTCTGGGTCATTAGGATGACCCTTATTAGGGCAAGCATGTTCTGCTTCGCCACAGACGCTACTGTCCCACACGCGAGCTGCCCAGACTCTTCCCTAGCGTGTTTGGCCCCTGGAAGCTTAAGAATGTCTCACCGTGGAAAAGCTGAGATACGAGAGAGCTGAGTTCTAACCCTGGTTGTGCCTTGGATGTGCTCTGTGACCCAGGCCGCCCGGCCCGGCTCCCACACCTCCCGTCCCACACCTCCCGCCTAGCGTGCTGCGGCACCGGGCGACTTGAGTGGAAAGGAAGGGGAGAGGAAATGCCGTGAATTTGGTTTGGGGGATGGGAGCTTCAGGGAGGGCTGTTCTAGAGTTTGCTCTAAGGCTGTTATGATAGCGCTCACAGTCCAGATGCCAGGAGAGCGCGGCGGCCCATGCTGGGGAGGCCGAGGGAGCCGACGGCTGAAGCCCAGAAATCCATGTCCGGGCAGGGTAATGAATATACAGAGCAGCAGGGGCGGGTGCGACTGGTCGCGGAGAACGGATTTAATTACCAACGCTTTCAGGAGAGAAAATTAAACTGCAGGAAACAAGGGCGCACTCCGAGGACCACGATACCCGGGTACCTACTCCTCCAACCCGCTCGCGCCAGGGATGCATTTCCATCGCCTGCGCCCGGGGGTGGGGGGGACCAGGGTGAGGCGTGACCCGCGTCCCGCGCAGTAGTGGCTCAGGCCGCCACGAGGCGGGGCTGTCGCCTGGAGCTCAGCGACCTGGGGTGGGGCTCACGAGGGACCGGCGCGCAGACCCAACCCTGGGACTGGCGGACAAAGGACTGGAGAGGGGCGGGGGTCCTGACATCCGTGGCCCGGACTCGCGCTGGAAACCGCGGTCTGACGCGAGACTCAACCCCACCTCACTAGAATCTAGGGAGCGGACATGCGGACAGCCTGCCCCACCTCGGTCCTTGTACCCGCATTGCGAGAGCGCGCTCCCAGCACCAGCCCTCAGCGCTCACCATCCCCTTTTCCCTGCCGCCCACTCTTGTCTTTCCCACCTCCCCTTACCTCTGC